AGCCCCAGATGCCCTTTTCCAAAACGACTTCATTCCCAGAATCTCATTGTGCTTTCTAAATCACACCACAGTATGTATTAGAAGATCATTAATTACAAACTTAACAAGTCAGCAGAGCCATTAAAAGATCTTTAAGGCATATTTGACCATAAATCTCCTTAAACTATATTTAATGACTGGATTTTTGTGAAATATTTTTTATCAAGTTCTAATTAGATGTGTGATAACAAACCCGGCTGTACATGGGGCAAATGAGGGAGCCGTGACAGGCCCATCCATTGGGGCTGTCCACGTCTGGACACTGAAACTAATGGAGCACTGCTTCTATCTCAGGGATGGATAGAAAGCAATGAGGGATGAGACTCCAGAGTCCAGTCCGGCCTGCAAATGCACTCATTTAAAGTCTCTTATTTGACTGTAATAAAGGTTCAAAAATGCCTAAAGGCCTCAAGGCTCCAGTCAAAAATTCCATTACGATTCATTCAGGATTGATCCCCAAATACTTAATGGCACCGTCACACTAGGATCGATCATGTTTCCAAAATAACCTGGAAAGTCTAATCGGGTTTTTTGACATATCGGCGGGGCGAATGCCAACAGGATTTTCTTGTAAGGGTGTTAAATGTGTTAAAATCCGAAAGTGCTTTTTGACTGAGGAGACAAAGATGAATAACACACAACAGGTTGGTATTTTAGTTATAAATTAGAAAATAATGTTTCAGAAGTTTTTCTAAGTTTTGCCTTCAGAACAGAGTTTCTACATCCAACTTCTTAAGTTATCTGGACAATTTAGAATTTAGAAAAACTTGTTTGTTTAAACAAATTTTCCAAATTAACAACAAAAAAAAGACTTGTTTTGATTCTGTTATCGATACGGAAAAAACTTCCCAGTCGAGAAATGTACATTAATGTTTTTGAAGACATTTCTGACAAAATGTCACTTTATGACACTGCTAAAACTCCCATAATGCATTCCTCACTTTTTTGTTTTTGTATTTTTTTGCTTTCTTTCGACCAATCACATCTGGTGGGATTTTTTGTCAATTGTTTGATTCAGTTTTGCAGTATTCATGCCAAAAAGGAAGGCATATAAGGTGCTATTTAAATGTGGATAATGCATTAGCAGCTCAGACCTAAATCTAAATTTAGAAGCCATCAAATTATCAAACAGAAATTCAGCACTCCTCCTTCACAGCATTAGCTGAGTCGAGTAGTAAACAGTGTGAGGACGTGTTTGTGTTGGTGTGTGTATACGAGTTTACATTAGGTGTAAATACTATTCCCCTGCAGACCCCCCCCCCCTCTGTGTTTAGCCTTTTGCTGACCAGGGGAATTAAGAAGCAAAAACGTGGGTTTTAAGAGCGTTCCTTTCATGTCTTGATGTAAGCTTTGGCATTACTTCAGACATCAAGATCGGTTTCATAGAAATCCCATTCCATCTAAAGTAAAAGCTCGGCAGTAAATCTGCCGATACTCCCCCATAACACTTCCATAAATGATTCATTCAGCTCGGTTTAGCTGATGCAAAACAGAATGTTAGTGAGTTGTGGATGGAGCCTGAGCTGCGAGAGCAGGACCAACCCCGCTGCTTAGTAATTTCATCAATCTCTGGGAGAAAAAGAGAGGAGAAAGGAGAAAGAAGAGAACGGCGTACACTAATAATAACTTTTGTGTCACTATTCAGAGGTCGTGTTTTTTAATCCCTCAGCCTAAAGAATTGTGTTATTCTAAAATATAACCCCAGCGGTGCAGAAGCGGTTGAGATCCATCACGGTGTGAGATAAGAGCCGGCGGATCGCCTCCCTCTGCACAGCCTCGCCCAGAACTACACAGAGAGATAAGATGGAACTTTTGTTTGAAACCTGATGAGAACCCTCTTAATGAAAGTGCGCCGCCAAAAATAATCTTTTTTCTCCATGTTAGTCAATCAAGAAATGGTGTAGTTTGGGGGAAAAAGAGGAGAAAGAAAGTAATTTTGCATAATCAGTGAGCACCATCTGGAACAATTAACAAAATTCCACAGAACTCAGAGGATCAGTCATATTGGCTTATTAAAGATCCAGAATTATACAAGTAATAAATCCTTGGAAAAACGAAGCGTACCCCTGCCTGTCACGACTATTTTAACTTCAAATACAGTGGAATACTTGATAAGGCTGAAAAGAGGAGATTAATATATGCAAATTATGTCGAGCATTTAAAAGCCCCCCAACAACTGTCCCGTTTTTTTTTTCCCTGTCTCTTATTACAGGGCTTTATGTTTTATTCATACACCAACTCACCTGTCATTTCATAAGCTATAATATTATGAGGGTATTATTAAACAGCATAAAGTGGAGCTTTAATTGGAAAGCTCCATTGCATTTTCCAATTATTTGCAGCAAATTAAAAGCAGATGCACATAGTTTAATAAGAATTCTAATATTGTTTCCTGAAAATCAAAAAATCACTGTCATCCTGCCAAGATATTTTGCAAACCCAAGTTAATTTTGAGCCTCCTATTTTTTCCCTCCGCCTCCTTCCCTCTGAAGGATGAACTGTCTAGTGTCTGTTAATTGAAGTTCCTCTAATGGATATGGAAATAATTGCTCTCCATATTACGTTAGATCAGGGCCAATGTCAGGATTTCTTTTTGATTAATGCAATAGATATGTAAATGTATTACTTTTTATTACGTTTACCTTCTTATCAGGTGGATGTCTGCTGAATACTATATATGTTGTTCTGCAGGTAATGACGAGAGACTGCAATGCAACGCGTCACACAGCTTTATTTGAGAGTTTCGGAATTTTATCAACACTATCACATTTATTTATATCCAACATATGCCTTTTAGACACATTCTATGATGCACGTTTAATTACCTTTAAGCTATCCTGTTTTTCTGTCAATGTATAAATAACAGAACTAATTGGCAGAGGGACTTGGCATGGATCAAAGCAACGTGGTGGAGAAAAGCAAAAGGTTGGAGCGGCTCTGCAAACTTGATAACTTTTCAAATGAGCTTGAACTGTCAAGTGAAAGAGGGCTGCAAAATAAATGTGAATTAGTTTTTAATATTCTGGTAATAAATGTCAAAGCGCCTGCACATCACATCTGTACATGATGTGACTGCGGATGACAGATTTCCCAGACATGTTACCTCTCCTCCCCTCAACTCTCTTTTTTTTTTCTATTGGGTTTTTGTTTTGTTGGGAAGTGACGGAGGGTTTAATCAAGAAAGCAGGCAATTCATCAATCCTAAAGACGGCGCCTGTACAGCCCTGACAGAGCGCACATGGTTTTAGACCAACTCGAACCTGGCCAGCTGTCAGCCCACACACACGCGTGCACACGCAGACACCCAAACACCCCCCCAACCACACACACACACACACGACAGCTACCAGCGCTAACAATTAACACACATAGGCTGTCGGCTACGACCTCACACTTGGTCCGCAGGCTATCACATTGTTAATGAAGGGAAGTTGTGTTCTCTCACATGCACAGTGTGATGCTGTGAGGCTGATGAGTACACAGTCTGAAGAAATTAAAGCCAAGAACCATCTCGGGCTAACTCCATTATCCACTCTTCTTTCAAATCACGCAGGGACACATGAAGGTAGAAGGAGGCAGCTGCAAAGGACAGTTTTCCGGAGGTAAATGATGACTGCTGGCAACGCACTGTACAGTATGTGCATGTTCTTCCCTGTCACTCAAACACCGTCCCTGTGGATGTATCGCACACCCGATGCCACGAAGCACTCAGCTGTGTGTTAATGTGTGCTCCTTCAGGGCCACACTTTGCACACTTGTCTTGACTAACTTATAATATGACTGTCACAGCAACAAAATGATGTATTAATCATTTTTTTAAAAACACATTTTTTGGGATGGGGGCATACAAAACAAAAAAAGGAGAGAAAAAAATATTTTAATAAGTAATTTTAAATTCTTATATATTTTTAAAAAAAACGTTTATTTAGCATTTTAATCATGTGCACTTCAGCTATTGTTTAATACTTAGGCTTGTGTTAATAAGACAGGGTGTAACATGGCCATAGCCTGGGTGTGCCTCTGCCTGAGCAGCAGGAGGAATCTTCACCACATGGTGTCTCTCTCCAGCTGGATAAAAAGCTGCCTGCCTCGTTCTCCTCATGCGAATCACACGCTCTTTTAGGGCGAGAGCGTCTCAGCCGGTTCTGACTCTGTGGCTCTGAGGCGGCCGTGGTTAAATCTCTGCTTCCTAACGAATTAGCCTCTCTTCTGTCTTAGTCCTGCAGCATTGTGCTTTAGTAGAGTTTCTCTCCTTGACAAAGAGAAGGAAATTCGTCCAATGCATTGGTACATATGTAAGTATGGCATGTGATGGATCATCTTTGACATCTGTTAAATGTTCTCGAGTGTAATGCCGAGCTCCTTTGGGAAGTCACGTTCGCTCAGATAAGCAAAGCTCTGTACAGTATCCATCAGTGAGGAGATCTAGACATAAAGCGTTTGGAGATAAAGCACCAGAGGAGCCGCCTTTATGTCCACATGGTGATGCTATTCAGTGGAGATAGAAAGCCCAAGAGTTGTTTTTTTTTATAAAAACAAAGCATTTTCATGCGGTACAATGGCCAAAAGTAAGCATTCTAACGACCCATGTTTTTATTGGCTGAACAAGTTGACCCTGCCTGCCGTCAGCTTTTAACAAGCTCGCACTAAAGAAGTACTTTTTCTTAAAGCTGGTGGACTAGTCATAAAAGTCTAAATGTCATCTCAAACTATTTGTGGTCAACTTGAACAGACAAAAAGTGACATCTGCTAGTTTTTATTTGGCGGTTTTTAAGCCATCATTTTAATTTTGACTTTCTTTTTAATGTTATTAAATATAACATCGCTGTCACAAAGGGCTTTTGTTACCCTGGAACGTGATGTCATTTTTAAACTTCATGAAAAATAAACCTAAATATACAATTCTAAATACAAGACTAAATAGTGCTGACTTGGATATGTTTTGAGTGTGAAGTATTTACCAGTCATGGTGTAGTTCCCACTGCTCTGGGGCTCAGAGTCCTGCCGGGTCGGGGTCTTCCTGTGCCCAAAAAGAAAACAACACGGTTTCAATAAACAGGTCAACATTATTTTCCCAGACATTATGGTAAAACATGTAAGGCGCCATGTCAAGTTTCTATTTAATGAGTATTATTATGTTCCCAGACATATTGCCCATACATTAGAATAGAATGTATTTAGTATGGAAGCCTTGAACTGCCTCCTTACACTAAGGCTTTTTTATCTCAAATCAAAACAGAGCACTGAAATACCAGGATGAATCTAAAGAGGAGAAATATGGTAAAAGTTAAAGCATGCCTCAGCTGCCCAGGGGCTTGAACAGACCGTTAGCGGGGGGGGGATTGAAGCAGGATCTTGTACATTCTGGAGGAACTGAGAGATTCCATTATTCAAGGGAAGTCTGCTTTTCTTTTCTTTTTTTACGTTTCATGGCCTTGTATTACAGAAAACAGCACAGAATGCACTTTGTGGGCAGTTGAAGTTAACAAACCATATAAGATTGAAATCCTCATCAATCAAGCTATCATGAATTACACCCTGTGACTCACCCCTACGGATCGATAAATCCACAGCAAGCAGGAAAAAAAAAAAAAATTATTCACAGCTTGGAGGGAGCTGCATAACATGACATGCTCTGGAGGTAAAAATGAGCTCCGGGATGGCATTATAAAACAAATGATCTTATAATGATAATGCAAAGTAGTTGGCAATATCATTTAAAATGGGAATTGCTTTGATTGGAGGACACGCAGGCGTACGGGATTGTTGTTGAAGAAAAAGAACAAGCTAGACAAGAAGAATAAAACGATGTTGAATTATGAGAAGACACAACAGATTCTGGGAGTGAGCAGGTGTGGAGTCAGGAATAATGAGCCGTGTTTTGTGTACTGTATCATGTTCTGTATTTGGTCTGTTTATGGAAAACATAATAAGTCTTACAGGGGGGTGTACAATTCTTGAAATTTAGGACTAAAGACAGATCTGCATATTCCACGAGTGTTGTGCATGAGTTGTGTGGCCTTATCTCTTCGCTTGAGATAAATAAATGCAATCATTTCCATCAAGAGCAATAAAACAAGACTTCTGACAGGCAGTGGTATTTATGAGCTGAAGCCTGCAACTCAGATTTATTTGCAATGAAAGGGTGGACTTTTCCCCTCCTCATTTACATCAGCATTTGGCCATGTTAAATCCAGGCCAATGGTGAATTTTTAAAAAGGTTGGCATCAATCTTGTGGGAACGATTGCCATATTCAACGCAGACTTCTTTTACCTTTCAAAAGGTTGATTCCACTGCTCAGGAAGAAAGGTACGCATCTCTCAAAGCACAAAGACATCCCAAGGACTGATACAGTGTGTGTGTGTGTGTGTGTGTGTGTGTGTGTGTGTGTGTGTGTGTGTGTGTGTGTGTGTGTGTGTTTGTGGGGGGGGGG